ACTTGCGTATTAACGCGGGTCCTATTCTAGTTTATTATAAACAAGATGTTTTTGATCCGTGTAAAATCAAAAAACTCTGAAAATACACATGATCCAGTTCTTTTGTTGATCTTGGTCGGTTCGTAGATAATATTTCAAAATCTTTTGGCTATAAAATACTTTTAACACAAAAAAAAAACAATACATTTTTTTTGTTATTCTCTTTATTTCTGTGTTGTTTATTTCAAACTTTTAGACTCTTATTGAATTGAATTTTTCTAGTTCATATAAGGGGAAAGTATGAGTTATTTTTGTAGGAGAGTAAACGAGAATTTTTTTTTGTTTTTTAACATGTATGAGTTAAGAACGAGAATTAATATTGATCCAGATACAATATTTTATAATATTCCGTTTTTCATGTATGCTAATTTAATAGTGAAAGTTGGAAACATAAATAAAAGATGATAATCATGACGAGCGTAAGTAGAAAGCCTTCAAAATTGTAGGTTGTTTTTTTTTATTAAAATCTTCGAGAGATACGAGCTTTTGGTCCATTCGAACGAACTAGTCATGCATTTTAATGGGCGAATCAACTATCAAATCTCCTTACACCTTATTCTCAACCACTTATATCTATACGTATCAATATAGACCATTTTAATTGGCACTCTCTATAAAGCTACGTACCTAATTTAACTAATTTATTATAACCTTTCGTTCCATTGTATACTAGCCATAACCAAAACCTCGAGAGAGAGTATGGCAATGAACATCCAAAACAGAGCGTATATTCGAAGAAAATGGAACTGGATCGATGCAGTGAGAGCATCGGTGGTCGTAATCGTCCATTTATTGTGTCTTTTGGCTCCGTTTCACTACAATTGGGAAGCTCTCCGCTTGAGTATCGTGCTCAACATTGTCACTGGTTTCAGTATCACATTCTCCTACCACAGGAACTTGACTCACAAGAGCTTCACATTACCAAAATGGCTTGAATATATCTTTGCTTATTCAGCTCTTTTGGCTCTTGAGGTAAATAAATGAATGCAATTAAGCGTATATATTATTAAAAAAATAAGTCAAATTATTTTCTTCATGTTATTAGAAGCAATTTTTTGTAATGTTTATAGGGTGATCCGATAGATTGGGTGAGCATACATAGGTTTCACCACAAGTTCACAGATTCGGACCGAGATCCACATAGCCCTATCGAAGGATTTTGGTTCAGCCATATCTTGTGGATATTCGACACCGATTATATAAGAGCTAAGGTAACAAGACATTCATATATAACGTTCGTATAATATCACGGTTACAGATCCTCTTCTTAGGACATGAATTGTGATTTATTGTTGGAATACAAATGTTTATATAGTGTGGAAGGCGTAACAACGTCATGGACTTGAAACGACAATGGTTCTATAGGTTTCTACAAAATACACAAGTTCTCCACATTACAATATTTTTTACCATCCTCTATTGCTATGGCGGTTTACCTTACCTCATTTGGGTCGTGGTAAAATCTCTATTTACCTTTAATCTATCGTGGGTTGATAGATCTGTTTGTATCCAATGAAAAACCGATGTATTATGCTTTAAAAAATAATATATACATATAAAATATGACAGGGCTTTGGAGGCACAATTAGGTACCATGGGACTTTGCTCGTCAATTCAGCATGTCATATTTGGGGTTCTCAAGCGTGGAAAACCAAGGACACCTCTCGTAACGTTTGGTACTAATTCATGTTATGAGTATTATATATTTTTTTTCATGTGAATGATTATTCAAATTAGGTGTGTGCAAAAGTTTACCTGTTTGATCTCGTCCTGTCTCACGTTCCTAAAGTAATAGTAGTATTTGGAAACATTATGATATGGAAAAGAGACAAGAATTTATGTTGTCTCAAAAAAAAATATATATAATTGATGTGTTATACAGTAGATTAATACTAATATAATAGTGCTACATAGCTATAAAAATATACCAAAATCCATACAAAATCAGGCAATTTTTTTTATTTTTAAAATTTACTTTAACATAAATAGTTTTCACTATTAAATTAAATTAATATATACTTTATTACATTTTATAGTTTCCATATATATGGGGATTTATTCCTTTTTAATTTCTTATCAATCTTGTATCGAATTTTCTTGTTTCTACTCACAATTCATATAACTTGTTTAGTATTTAGAAAAGCGAATTGACTTGTTGTGAAATTGATGAAGGTGGCTAAGCATATATACGATGGGAGAGAGTTGGCACAACAACCACCATGCGTTTGAGTCGTCGGCTAGGCACGGTCTTGAATGGTGGCAGATCGATCTCACTTGGTATTTCATTCGATTCTTCGAGGCTCTCGGATTAGCTACCGAAGTAAAATTGCCTTCTCAATCCAATAAACAGAAGATGACTTTTGCTCATTGATGTTTTGAGTGTCAGTATAGCTCCAATCATAAAGGGAAAACGCTCATGAGCAGTCCAAAATTAAATATTACATTGATGTCCATATATACATGTTTTTGATAAGGGAATACGGAACTTTTGTTGATTTTGATCCATGTCTGCTTTTCTTTACGGAACTTTAGAAAGGACTTCAAGTTGCCTTGCCTCTCACATTTATTGCCCTCGTTTATGTCATTATGTGCAGCCTATGTTAAAATATTTGTTGTTTCAATGAGGTCTCACATATCTATGCAATCTATGTTAAATTATTAAAAGTTGTGTTTGTGTCTTACAAATCTAACGAGATTTGGTATGGAACTTATTTTGACACTTGTAAAACAATCTTACGCAATTATCATAACTAATTAGAGGTAAGTTAAATAGTAACACATAATTAATTCTTTTTTTTAGTATGAGTTATACCTTCTTTAATTACGCCAATGTGAAAATGTTATCTTTTAAGATACTTTAGTTGTTTTCTACTACCTCTTCAATATTACTACAAATAGGAGCATTAAAAGCATTGTTTCATATGACACGAAAACAATCTCCACTGATTGAAAAAGACAGAGAATCACTAGTTTTCGGTAAAACTTAACCTCACATTAACCCACAAATAAAATCCTTTAATCCGGCGGAAAACAGTCAGTTTATCTTGGGATGATATAGCGAAAAAACATTTTATCCTGAGATGATGCAAAAAACTAAATATTTACATCATCGAAAAATCTTTTTTTGTTTACTAAGGGGTTGATTGGTTCATCCGTTACCATCCGCAAACGCTGCATTTGCGGGCGGTAGCGATTGTTTGCGTTTGACAACAATCATGGAAAACGCCTTATACCGCTCTGTATTGCTCCAAACCTCTCAAATCCAAAAGCTGCTTCCCTCGAGCGTTTGCGGTTGCGGGCGGTTGGATAATTAAAAAAAAATTGATTTTTTTTTTAATGAAAAAAAAGAAGATTTACT